GGCTGTGACAGCTGTGTCATCTGACTCCGTTTCATCTCAGGGCCTTTCACTATAAGCTGAAGGGTTTCAAAACTGCTTTTTACTTGAAAAATTGAACATTTTCTGAGTTTTGATTCCTGTATTTTCTTTCTCTCTTTTCCGATCTACTGCTAAGAATCGTGTGATTACTGTGTTTTTGGTACTTTACTCTATTTTTCCTTATATCGTAAAGCTTCATGACCCAACAGAGTGTCTTGACTTTGAGCAGAGAATGAGCGTTTCTCCCTGGCTCTTTGAAAGCTCCAGAGCCCTGGAGTTTATCTGAGGCTTTGATGTGAACCCCTAATTATTTTTATTTGAGACAGAGTCTCACTATGTCACCCTCAGTAGAGTGCTGTGGTGTCAAAGCTCACAGCAACCTCAGACTCTTAGGTTTAAGCAATTCCCTTGCCTCAGCTTTCCATATACCTGGACTATAGGCACCCGCCACAACCCCTGGCTATCTTGTTGTTGTTGTTATTGTAGTTGTCATTGTTGTTTAACTGGCCTGGGCTGGGTTCGAACCTGCCAGCCTTGGTGTATGTGGCTGGCACCGTAACCACTGTGCTATGGGCGCCAAGCCTGAAGCCCTGATTATTTTATTATGGCCTTAGGAAGTGCTGAGTGATGTGGCTTCGCCTCATCTTCAAACTGAGGCAAAATAATAGCACCTGCTATTCCCACTGTGGAGCGTTTGCCTTTAAATATGTCTCAGAGCAGCCAGCGGGGTTGGCATCTTGTGTTTTTCTCTTTCACTCATCTGAGTATAAATGTTTAACTTCTTGCAAACTCAGTATACTTTGTGTGGCTTTTGTGAGTCAAAAACCAATTGGCCACTCTCAGGGATCATGGTAGAGAGGTCCCCAGGCTCACCTTGTGGCTTCAAGGCATCTTGGGCTATTGCTGACCTGTCCAAAGGGTTATTTTTGGAGAGCAGGAAAAATCATATTGGCATGAAGTAGGTGCCGCTTAGTCTAGTAATTCAGAGCCAAGACTGAAGGGACAGACCATGTACTGGCTATGAACTTGGGCAAGTGGCTTAAACATCAGCTTCATTACCTGTGAATAGGATTTGTTTATCTGCCATGTAAGTTGATTGTGAGGATTGAATAAGCTGCTTAGGACAACATTGGGCAGGTGGTGAGTGACAGCAATTGCTCTAGAATGAAGAGCTCCTGTAATTTTCGCCTGTAATGTAGACAGTCCTTGCTTTAATTTATTTTCCACCTTGTTTCAGCATCATTTTCCTTTTGGGGGCATATGAAGGTCAAATTTGAGAAAAGGAAAACAACTAAATGTGTTTAAGGGATGTGGCTGGAAATCTGATGAAACAAGATTAAAAAAGAACAGACTTTGCCAAGCGTTTGTGCGATATCTCGCTAGCACCGACCCTGTGTGTACTGGGGCAACTGCAAATAAACTCCGCCGAGTATTGATGAGTAATATAAATATCAAGGAATCAAGCTGCAGTGAAGCAGGCAATGTCAACAGCTTTGTTTGGCTGTAAAAAGGCCAACATTCCTGAAACAATGAGCTCATTGTCAAATTCCTCCTCTGCCACGCCCCTGAAAGAATCCGTGGGCTGTTTGTTCATTTTTACTTTTGTTTTCTAGGCAGCTGAGCATGAAATAGAGCAGTGATTCTTAAACTTGGATGTGCATTAGAAGCACTTGGAAGACTTATTAAAATGTAAATGTTGAATCCTAGCCCCACAGTTGCTGACTCAATGAGGGTGGGGCGGGGCCTGAAAGGTGCATTTCTCTTCAGTTCCCTGGTGATACTGATGTGCTGATCAGGGACCACACTTTGAGAACCACTAAGACAAAGTCCTCTGAGGCCCCGTGATGTGGTGTAGAGCACGGGGCACGGTAGTCCTAAGAGATGGATTTCAGCTTCTGGGGAGTCTGTCCTTATCAACGTTGCCTGCTTCACAGAGTTCTGTTAAGCAAATAATCTGAGATTGAATTTTTTCCATTTTTAGTTGAAAATAATAAGATCCACCTCATTAAGGTCCTTGTAAGAGTTAAATGAGATGCTCGTAGAACATTATTCACTGCCTGCAGTGTTTGTAGTTACTGTAAGATTTTTTTGGCAGGGGGTGGGGGAGTAAGCCATGTAAATATTTCTGAAAGATCTGGACAGCCAAGTCTATCAAATGAATAACACCCTTCATTGAAATAGCTGAAGAAGCGATTTTAAATATTTCATTAAATTCCCGTGCTCTTTTTTAACCTGGTGTGTGTATGTGTACTTTTTATTTTTATTTTTTAATGTAAACAAGTGGTTCTTCCCCATGTAGTTCTTACTAGGTAAAGTTGCATAATAGGTCTGGAATTTCATCCTCCTTTAATTCTGCTCAGTGGGATTGTGGCATATTTGATGTGTAGGGGGTACAGGGCAGTGGAAAGGTCACAGCTACAATGCGAACCCTGAGTTTTCATAATTCACAAACAACTAGGCTCTGATCACAGTTCTGTCTTCTTGCATTCAGAAGCAGCCATGTAAATATCCATGTGGCACAGAATCAACTGGGAGCTTTTTAAACATATGGAATTTAACAACCCGCCTCCAAAGAATAGGATTTGGTGTGTCTAGGATGGGGTCTGATCATATGTATTTTAAAGCATTATTCCAGATGGTGCAGACACTACATTTCAAGGAACACCCAAGTCTCCAAGGTGTCAGCATAGAAAAAATATGGAAGGAAGGAAGGAAGGAAGGAAGGACTCCTAGAATGGGCTAGAATAGTCTAGTGTGAGTTTAAATTCATGTTACGTTGTTCAGTCAACTGTGTGGACATGAGCAAATTCTCCAGTTTCCGTAAGTCTGGTGCCACTTATGTGTCATGGCTCAGTCTCGTCTGTCAGGGCGACAGGCAGGTTGTAGTTAACACGTGCTGTATAAAGTGCCTGGCACGGTGCTGGGCTTGGAGCTCACGTGCTCTAGAATCAGGTTGGTTCTTAAATGCCAGACGTGGAAGGTGGACAGATAAGTTCAACACAAAAGCTCATAGATATGGCTACATATGTGATATTCCTATTTCCACAAAAAAAAAAAATTCTTTGGCAGATAGAACAGAAATGAAGCCATTTGGCTTTGTGAATCCATAAACTATTTACTAACTGTTAGGGAGACAGAATTCTCTGAAGATGATGTTAAAGTGACTGATTTCTTATAGGTGTTGTCAGGTCAGGCACATTAACACCTAGTTTTTAACTTGTTAGAGTTTTTTTTTAGATTTGAAACTTTTTTTATTTTTGGCGCTTTAAGATTAAGTAGTGTTTGATTGTATTAAAACAAATTATTCAGTCTGATCTGTTGAGTCAGAAGAGTGTCATTTTTTCACTGTGCCAGAACATCAAAATTTTCCATCCACTTTAATGTGACGAGATAATGTCTTTCCGTGAGAGCGTTAAAGACTTGAGGCCAGCCTAGACGAATCCATGTTGACACAAGACAGCAGGGCCAATGTCATTCAATAAGAGAATGGGGAAAATGTGTTTAAAAAGAGAACATTGTTGCTATAAAGACAGAGTCCTTTATTTTTTCAGACTTTTAGGTTACATTATTCTCACTTACAAGATAAAGTTCAAGTTGTAGAAGAGCCCTTCACCCAGGGGGCGTGCCCAACACCCTCACATTGTGCACAATAGGTGAGATCCCACCAATTGCTCTAGTTTCTCCAGGAAACCCCTCCCCTCTCCCCCCCTCCTTTCTCCCCTCTTCCTCCTTTGCCACCTCTCCCCCCCCTTCCCTCTCTCCCCTCTTTTTCTTCTCTCTCCCCTCCTTCTCTACCTCCCCCTTGCTAGACTATATTTTTTTATCATTCGTGTGGGCCTGTAATTGTTTACATATTGGTTTCATATTAGTATTGAGTACATTGGATATTTTTTTCCATATTTGAGATACTTTACTAAGAAGAATGTATTTCAGCTCTATCCAGGTAAACACAAAAGATGTAAAGTCTCCATCTTTTTTTTTAATGACTGAATAGTAGTCCATAGTATACGTATGCCACAGTTTGTTAATCCATTCATGGGTTAATGGACATTTGGGTTGCTTCTACTACTTGGCAATTATGAACTCAGCTGCATTAAGCATTCTGGTGCAAATGTCTTTGTGGTAAAATGATATTTGTTCTTCTGGGTAGATAGCTAGTAATGGAATTGCAGGATCAGATGGAAGGTCTACTTTTAGTTCTTTGAGACTTCTCCATACTTCTTTCCATAAAGGTTAGGAAATATAATATAAGTACATGTTACTCTGGTTTTTCTCAAAGTCTTTGTGGCTTTCCTTCTACAGACTCTAAGCAATTTTAAAATACTCTATTCATTCTGTAGTAATCTTCCCCAGCTTGCTGGCATGCTTCTAATTTATGTCTTAAAATTAGTAGCATGATATTTTTTACTTCCATGCTGTTCTTGAAGGTTTCAGGAGGGAATTTATCAACCACAATTGCATATCCATTAAACAAAGCTCAAGAACAGACACTCCTAATGGGGTTTTCATGTAATTGTCCAGTAGTGTACGATTTGCCAAGGGCAAATGGTCAATGCTACTTAAACATCTTAAAGTCTATAAACCACAATTCTGTGTGATCGTACTAAAGAGCTTTGAATTATCACTTGAAAAACAACAGGATGTAGGAAATTTCAGCTTCCTTGGTGCTTTCATGAAGATGCCACTTTAAAGAAAATATTTCTTCAGAGCCACCAGGATTAACATAATTATTCTCTAGAGAGCCAGGGTTTTATATTTGTAATTTGTTACATGAGAAAAAAAGGCCTCCTGTGACATGTGGGGGTGTGACACTGCCTGCATAGCTGGGGGGAAACTCGAACTTGAAATACTCCTGAAATGTTAGGAAGACGTGCAAATAATGGGTTTGTCACCTGCTTGCTGGATGTACGTGGGAATACGCTGTGTAATATCAAGAAAAGTATTGTTTTGAACCAGTGGGATTTTCAAATATTTCTTTTTAGGTTGGACACCGAGGAACAATAAGGAGTTACCCAGGCTTTAGTGCGTCAGTGGATGCTGAGGCTATTCGTAAGGCCATCAGAGGAATTGGTGAGTGATGTGTTATCATTCCTTTCTTAGAACTGAAGCAGATCAAGATAGTGTCAATCTGAAAGTACCTACGTTGAGTTTGCCCAAATTGGCTTACTCAACTAGAGAAATTGTCAGGGATTTTGTAAAATCGTGAAACAATGAGGAAAAATATTGGGAGCCTAATTTTATTAAATTTTAACATTTGCTGTATTTACTTCATATTGAAAACTACCACCACCAATAATCGTAATAATAAATCATTACAAATACCGTCCCTGTCTATTGGTCCTGGATTTCATTCCTACCTCATTCTTCAGTGATAAACACCATCCTAAATTAGAGTTTCTTCCCATGACACTTTTAATGCCAGGACTACATATATCTGTACATATTGTTTTGCATGATCTCAAACAGCACAAAGTTGAATCCTCCCATCCTCATTCTTCTTTAATTTGTTTTTATCCTCTAGCATTCTGATTTTGAGATTTCCCCATGCTGATGCATTTAGCTCTAGGTCATTAATTTTTACTACATAAGAGTGTATTTCATCACTATATCATAAAGTGGGAATATTGATGGAACATTTAAATTGCCTATAATACTTTTCTATTACAATATAAAAATACTTAATGAATAGTCTTCTTTATGTCTCATTGTGCACACTTGCTAGCTTTCTCTAGAATATGACAAGAATTGGAATGTTCTAGGTTGAAAGGGAGTCCTTTCATCAAGTTAACCAGAAATATTGCCAAACTGGCTGCTCCCTGAATTGAATAGAGAAAGTAGCATTTCTTTGTTTTCATTTAGAAATTAGCTTTTCTTCCAGCAATGGATGGGGATTTCCTCTTGCTCCACACTGTCACCAATACTTGCTACAGTAATGATGTTCAGTTGTTCCAACTGAGTGGGTTTAAAATTGCATCTCACTCCATAACTGTCTTTGTTTGTTCCATAACTCCACACTCATTACTGATCCAGTTAGGCATCCTTTCTTGTTTGTTTGCTTACATTCTCATGGATCAATTCTTCACGTAGTTTATCCATTTTTCAGTTGAGTTGTCTTCTTCATGATTGGCCAAAGTTTTTCATAATTTCTGGATATAAATATTTTTAACAAATTATAAGCTATAAAGATATCTTCTCTAAGTCATCTTTTTCACGCTGATTTATAACCTTTTCACAATTATTATAATTTTATAACGACATAATAAATACCTAGTAAATAGGTATTTAGGTATTAAAACATAATAAATTCCTAGGCAAGTATTTTTTTTTTTTTTGATCTTTGCTCCTTCTTCTGAATCTTAGTTTATCAAATTCTATGAAATATACTATTAGGGCTTTGTATTAGTATAATACTGTCTTATTTCTGCCTGGTTTGGTTTATATTTTCTTCTATTATTCAAAGAAAGTTATTTCTTCATTTACCTCTTTTATTGCCTATCTATACCCGGTGTTCAATAGACTATTCCAGGAGGTTAGTGCTAAACCAAATCAATGAATAATGTTTACATTTTATTGTCTGTCTTTTTTAACATTATGTCTCTTTATGAATTTTTGTATTCTGACTGGCAAGCCTACTTTGAGAAGGAGATTTTTGTCTGTGAGCAGCACTTCAACATGTTCTGAGTCCAGAACCAGGCACCATAATGGCGTTTGAATTAGGGATGTGTCAGATCCAGTCTCTGAACCCTGAGGCAGCATGGTTTAGTTAGTTGCATGTGCAAAAGTAGGTGAGAAACTGCCAGGAGTACGGGCTGCATGGCACTGCGAATAGTTTGGGATGTTTGGAGTCTTGGCACATAAGACATAGAGAGTCAGAGAAGGGGTGGAAAGTGAGAATAGAGGCATAAGGCCAGAGATTGTGTAACAAGCCAGTCTATGAGCCAAGGGGCTTAAACGTCATCCTGAAAGTTACAGCAAGCCATTAGATTTTTAGCCAAGGAATGGCCCAATCAGATTGCCTATTTTATAATTCTGTTTAGACAATAATATACAAATGAATTATATGGCGGTCAAGTTAGGAGGCTATTTAGGTAAAGTATGATAAGGACACAGTGGCAGAGGGCATGCGGAGGAGAGGACAAATTCAGAAGATGCAGATGATTGCTAGAATGTAGGAAATAAGAAAGAGGAGTCTAGGATGATTCCTAGGATTTTTGGGTGGGTAATTATATTCATAGCTGTGTCATGGATGAGAGAATGTAGAGTGAAAGATGGAGAGGAAATATAAGGAATTCAACCTGGAGCATGTGAGTTTGATTTGAGTGCAGTTAGGGTGTCTGGTTGCTTACTGACACAGATTTTGGGATAGGTCCAAGTTGGTTATCAGATCCACAGAGCACAAATGGGCTTTAATCTAATTCTTTGTTTACTTGGCTATATGCAAGAATGCCAGGCCAAAGGTACAGAAGGGCCGCATCCCTCATGGGAATCCCCAGCAGTTAATGAAGTCTGCAGATTCTTTTGCCCATGATTGATGTAGATTGTATTCTGCTGTCACACATATCTATAGGGGTCACTTGGATGCAGAGAAGTTGAGCCCTGTGTTCTAATTGATCTTTTATACCATTCTAGCCATGCCCAAGGCCTACAAGCTAACTCACAACTTCCCAAACCAGGGGTGGTGCTCCACAGCAAATGAAGTGAGCCCAACTCCCCACATTTATCTTAATGCTATAATTACCAAGAGAAGAGGGACCTCACAGTCGTGCTCAGGGCAATACCAGCCCTGGCCTGGTATTATCCTTGACTTATAGACAATTGGTTAAGCATCTGGGTATCAAGTGCATGAGGGAGGTATGGGGCAAAGACAGAAATCCATGTTGGGGGGTCAGAGATTTGGATTTAACTTCTCTCTTCACTGCTTTCAAGCTGTGTGGCTTTGGCCAGTGAGATAAATTCTCTGAGTGTGTCTTTATCTTTAGTACAGCTCAATCCAGCTTAATCCTGCCAACCACATAGGGCTGCTGTGACAGTGAGTAAATAGGAGCCTTGTACAGGTAGGTTCTAAATGAGTGCTGGTTCCTATTCTCTAGAAGAAGAAAGACTTGTGTGTGTAGTATAAGGATGAGAGACCAGAGGTGACAAGACAATAACCAGACCCCACAAGGGTGAAAAAGTCGTACAACTCGCTCTGTCTGGTGTACAGATGAGAGTATTAGGACAATGCTTGTTTTCGTCCCAAAAAACTATCCAAACAAAGTTAAGTTTCCTTCCCTTAAGCCAGGTAAACACACAAGAAATAATGATCCCAATCTGGTAAGAACTTGGGAATTAGAAATTAAAATACTTTACCCTGTGCATTTGTTTCAGGCCCTTGATCATTTTTCTTTTGTTCAGGATATATGTATATTGAGCATGTTCGGGTTGATGTGAGTAAAGCAATTTTCATTTCATTTAGGAACCGATGAGAAAACCCTCATCAGCATCCTGACCGAGAGGTTGAACGCTCAGCGTCAGCTGATCGCCGAGGAGTACCAGGCAGCTTATGGGAAGGTACAGTGCAGTTGACCCAACAGGCAGCAGAGAAATGATTGTCCCGACTGTGGTAGCTCCCACACGTTTGTCCCAAGGGTAACACCACATACCCTACACGTCCACTCAGGAGCCTCAGATCTGAGTCCTGGTTCTGTCTTGAACTGACTAAATAGCCTTGGCCATGTTACTTGATCTTTCTGGACCTCAGTTTCTTCACCTGTAGAATGAGGAGGGTAGATTGGTAGTTCTAAAGCAGGACAGGTGGCCTGAATGGAGACGTCTATGAGAGTGGGGCTGCTTCCAGCACCCAGTAGGTAGAGGTCAGGATGCTACTATCACGATGCACAAGGCAGCCAGCTCCACAGCAGAGAGTTACCTGCCAACTATATGCCAAATCCCATCTTAGATGACTTTTAATTTCTCTTCTAACTTTAAAATATTTATGTAATTATAGGCTTAATCATTTAGCAAATGTAAACTTACCAACTCCTGGAAACTAACTATATAAGAACAAGTAAGACTTGGTCTTCGCTACACAGTTGCTTTGCTCAACACCTGTTCGTCAAGTGAGAAGGTGTCTGTGTCAGGTGATAGCCTAGGTATTGCAGACAACATTGATATAAACGTTCTCTTCCCTCTAACATGCTATTAGAAAAATCATAATCAAGTAAATAAAATAAGTTCAGATCTTGGTAAGTGGTATGGAAAAATTAAAATAGTGTGATTGGGTAGACAGTGACTGGTGCATGTCCCCTGTGGATAGGGCGCTGAAGGAACGTCAGCAGGGCTTGTTAGCTTATTCCCAGCCAAGGCTCAGCAGTGTCGGGGGTTCTGCTTGATCTGGGACAAGAGCAGTTCAGGCAGAAAGTGCAGCAAATGCAAAAGTCCTGAAGCAGAAAGAAACTGGGAATAATTGAGAAGCAGGAAGAATTCCAACATGGCAGGAATATAGAAAGTGAAGAGGGCAGAGGAAAGATGAGACTGGAGAGAGGCTTAGAACCTGCAGGGCCTTGGATCAGGCACAGTGTCTAGATTTTATTCCAGGGAGAGCAGGACACCATCGGAGTTTATAAGCAGAAAAATAATATAATCGAATTTTTAAAAAGAGTTATTTTGGCTGTTATGGAAAATGAACTGTGGAAAGGAAGGGATCCAACCAGACCAGTGAGTGCACTGAGCATGAGACAAGGTGTCCTGTGGCTCCAGGAGTGTCTAGGGACCATCCACAGGCATCCCCTCGGGAGGGTGTCCCCAGGTCCCCAGACTCCACAAAGACACCCTTCTCTGAGCTCCCTTTACCTATTAATTAACATACACTATTGAAATGTTATCTTTGAACATTTCTATTTTTCCCAGTAGGGCATAATATGTCACAGCCCCTAGGGCCCCTATGGCCCTGGTCTCCTCGCTGCAGGAAGGAACCAGGCTTGACAGATTAGAAATACAAGCTTGCAGGAGGCGGGCTAACCTTGATTGCAGGGTAGCCCCTAGCAACCTCCGCAGTAGCCTTTTATTGAGACAGCACAGGACAGGTGAGGGGAGTATTAGACAATAACTACGTGCCTAAGGATCGCCATGGGCTCGGGCTTTCTCCGCAAGGAGCACCTGCAGATGAATTGCCCCCTGTGGACCCCCTAGCTGCAAATCATTTTGCTCAGAGGTCATCTGGCTCTTGGCGTCCCCTACAATAATGTATTAAGGATAAGGGTTTTGTGTAACTCATCTTTAAATCCCTAGAATAGATCAGGTGTCCAGGAAACATTTGCCAAATCAAATGAAGGGCCAAGTTTCTGGGCCAGACAGCAGTTTCACATATAGGGACATGGATGATCCATTGACTGTTGGGTGTTTCCAAAACACAGAGGAAGGATGGAGGGGAAGGAGAGCACCCATTTCTGACTGTGGGACGCTTGAGGACGCGATGAGAGATGTGAAATAAGATCCAGCGCCGTGTTGAGGGCACATGGTGGTGGTACTGAGCATTTAGAGAGGAAAACGCCAGCATTCAAGGAGGGCTCAGGACACTTTTCAGTAGGAACACGCCCCTGCTGAGCCCCCCTCATCACAGCGGGCTGGGACGCTGCCAGCCTGCTTCAGAGCAGAAAACCATCAGGAGCAGGACAAAAGTTACTCAGTATTACTTCTTTAGAAAATAAAAACCATGGTACCTGTTTTTAAGCAGGAAAGAGGGAGTGTTCTATGTAACATTTGAAAACAGCGCCACAAGCAACATCAATAAGGAACGTGGGCCCCAGTGCCACACCGAGGGTTCCCTGAGTGTTGTTGCCAGAAAACTGCCTGCCACTTCCCGGCTCGCGTTCTCACTAGAGGCAAATGGTTGACCACTTCTTCCCTCTTCCTTTCTCTTCAGCAGTTGCTGAGAAGCGGGGTGCCCGGAGGACACCTGCTGGTGATGCTGGGCTCCTCTCCCTGCCGCCTCCCTGGCTTCACCGAGCAGCAAGCTTTTTATAATAACAAGCACCAAGCGCTTTTTATAATAACACCAAATTCCAGACGATGGCACTCACATAACCTTTCCCTTTGGCTCCCCTTCAAAAAGTCTGTATGAAACAGAAAAATTGAGGAGCAATCATAAACTGCAGGTTAAAATTCACAGGAATAGTCTCAGCACTTCTGTTCGTCCCCTGTAGAGGGCGCGTTGCTGTCTGATTCTGACGCGTGTGTTCTTGTGCCACCAAGGGCTTTAGACAAAGAGAAAGGAAATGCATTTCACATTCTCCTCCTCGTTTTTCATTTTAGAGGCTGAAAGATGACTTGAAGGGTGATCTCTCGGGACACTTTGAACATCTCATGGTGGCCCTAGTGACTCCACCAGCAGTGTTTGATGCAAAGCAGCTGAAGAAATCCATGAAGGTACGATCCCTCCACAAGCCGTTTCTGCCCAGGATTTGACTATGGTATCAAAACCTAACTTCCAGCTGGCCGCAGCGGCTCACACCTGTAATCCTAGCACTTTGGCAGGGTGAGGTGGGTGGATTGCTTGAGCTCAGGAGTTTGAGACCAGCCTGAGCAAGATTGAGACCCTGTCTAAAAATAGCTGGGCATTGTGGCAGGCGCCTGCAGTCCCAGCTTCTCCGGAGGCCAAGGCAAGAGAATAACTTGAGCCCAAGATTTGAGGTTGTATGATATACATGGCTCAGTATGATGATGTGATTGCACTCTATCCAGGGTGACATAGTAAAACTCTGTCTCCAAAAAAAAAAAAAAATCCTACCTTTCTTCTGGGGCACACTGGAGACGGGGTGGACTCAGAAGCTCTTTTGGTCTGTGCTCTCCAAATGGTGGAATGACTCTAAAATAGGAAAGAGTTGTGGAACCTTAAGCCCAAATGTTCGTGGGCTAAAAGAATATTGTCATATGCTTATTTTGTTTGTTTATTTTGACATGAGTCATTATTGAAAATAAATGACACTGTCACCAACTATAGCACTTAGGCTAAAAACCTAGTATTGTCCTTCAACTCTACTTTCTCTTACTCTTCAAAGCTCCCAAATCTATCAGCAAGTTCAAAGTCCATTGCTAATGTGTGCATTTCTCTCAAAGTCCATCCTACTGGTCCAGTCCAACCACCATCACCTCTTGGCCTCCTAACTGGTCCTTTGCCTCCTTTTTTGCCCACCACAAATTAATTCTTCAGAGAATAGTCAAAATAATTCTTTGCTAAGTTATTTTACAAATCAGATTATTTTATTTACCTACAGAAATCTCCAATGATTTTAAACAATTAAAATCTAAACTCCTTATTGTGACCTTCATCACCCAACGTGGTAGGGCTCCTGCCTGTCTCGGTGGCTTTTAAAACTTCTCTATCAGTCAGGGTTCCCCAGAAGAATCAATAGCCAGAACGTGTATGTTAAAAGAGAGTTATTATAAAGAATTGGTACATGACTGGTTAGGCAAGTTTGAAGTCTATAGGGCAGGCTGTCAGCAACGGCAGGTTGGAACTCTCAGGCACTGGCTGAAACTGCTGCCCACAGGCAGAATCTTTTCCTCTTGGCAGAAGCCTCATCTCTGCTATTACTGCCTTTTAACTGATTGAATCAGGCCTGCCTGAATATGCCACATCTTTAGATAATCTTCCTCACTTAAAGTCAGTTGGTAATGGACTTCAAGTATATCTACAAAACATCTTCACAGCAGCATCTAGAATAGTATTTGAAAAACTGGAGGTTGTAGCCTGGCCAAGTTTGCACACTAAACTGACACCTCCTCCCTAGTCAGTGACAAAGCTACACTGGCCTCTGCTCTTTGAACATAAGCTTATCCCTGTGGTCTTTGTACATGATATTCCTTCTATCTAGAATGCTTTTCCTACAAAGACTTTTAATTAATATTTTCTTAATCATACCTATTATCATCTAAAATTATCTATTTTTTGTCTGCTTATTTCCCATCTAATCAAAAGACAACCATCGTTGAAGGGAACCTCATTGGTTTGGTCTGTGTATTGTGCTCCTAGGTCAACACCAGGAAGGAAAGGCTCAGGGTATGTATTGATAGGAAGGAGGAAAAGGAAGGAAGTCTAGATCTGTAAGCCACATTCTGTCGTCCTGTCAGTGGTAGAAGATCCGAGAAGCAGATAGCCAGATGGGATTAGATGCACAAGAGATCTATTGTAGGGAATGTCAGTGAAAATAAGGAGCAGGTGGGTGGGGCCAGTGAGAGTAAGGAGCAGGTGGGTGGGGCCAGTGAGAGTAAGGAGCAGGTGGGTGGGGCCAGTGAGAGTAAGGAGCAGGTGGGTGGGGTGAGCCACCTGCAGTGCAGGGCTGATGCCTGTGATGGAAGGAGAGAGGAAGGAGGCTTGGACAAGCAGAGCTTCAGTGCACGGCGCAGCTCTGAGAAAGCCTTGACAGGTTGTTGGGGAGCCCTTCAGAGGAGTCCAGCATTGAGCAGAAATGGCCCCACTCCTGTCCCCCTGGTGTGTCCAGTCATTGGCTGATGCAATTTGGAGAGAGTGTGGCCTCAGTGTGATCTCTGGGGCAGACCCAAACATATGGCAGATTCTCTTGAAGTGAAATCTGAGCACTGAACCTCCCTAGTGACCACGTAGGGAGGTGTCATAGTAAGGATTAGATCTATCAGCAAAGACTGGAACGATTTCTCTTTTCACACAAATGACATCCCAAGTAAGCATGGCAGAGCCAGGAGTGGTGGCACCACCACATCAGAGTTCCCAGATCCTGAGGCTCCGTCATCTCAGCTCATGGTTTCCACTTTTTGGTCAAAGATGAAAAGCGGCTCAAGAGCCAGGCTTTATATCTTTATCCCAGTCAACTAGAAAGTAAAAGACCACCAAGGTTCACTTTTCTTAGGACCCTTCCAGCACATACACGTGATACATCTGCATAAATACCATGGGTCAGAATTTAGTTATATGGGTAAGCTTTGCTATAAAGGAAGCTGGAAAATACAGCCTTATTTAGGTAGCTGTGTGCCAAGTTCAAAATTGCAGGCTTGATTACTAAGCAAGAAAGACCAAAGAGATATCGGGGGTAACTAGGTGTGTCTGCCACAGAGGGACAGAATTCAGTCTCTGCTTACATGCTTCACTGCTGTCATTGGATCAAAGCCTAGTGTAAATGGCTTCCCTTGGAGTCACCTGGAGAGTGATTCGGTGACTCAGTATGAATAAGGCTGAGAGGTAACTAGTCCCCAGGCCAGCCGGGCCCATAACACAGATTACTGGGGATTTGAAACCTCCCTGTATGGAGAGGACAGTACATGCTGACCGACCCAGTAGAGGGGTGCAAGGATGAACTCATTGAACATCCTGGAGAGCTCATGCTGAGCTCACACAGTGGTGTGTTCAAATGCTTAGTCTGGTCATCCCGGTACACTGTCACCTCTGGTCTCGAACAATGTGGGTGTTTTCCTTTTACTGCTTCTCCCTAGAATTATTTGATGGGTTTTTACACTAAAGTAGAAAATTTGCTTGAAAAATTTGATGTCAGTTTGTTCCAGACAATTCATGTTATTTTAATACTAAAATGTATGGGAAAATAAGCAAACTATATTAGAGTAATATGGGACTTACTATCAATTTACTCAAAAGTGTTCTTCATCAGTATAAAAACAAGATAGTAAGACAGAAATGCATGGAATTAAGTTTTTGAAGTGTTCTAGAAAAAAAAAAAATATATATATATATATTGTTTGTATTTTTAGGGCACCGGAACAAACGAAGATGCCTTGATTGAAATTTTAACGACCAGGACCAGCAGGCAGATGAAGGAGATCTCGCAAGCATATTACACAGGTGTCGGGTTTTCTGCCCACCTTTAGCACTGTTCACACACACGTGAGCTGTATTGCTTTTCTTAGAATCCCCCTAATCTCTTTTTCACAAGGCATTTTGAGAAGGCAAGACTTAGAGAAAGGAGGATACATTCTACAATGGGCTGAAGGCTGTGGCTCTTCAGAAAATGGGAGAATATGATCAGAGCTAGAAACCACCTAACAGAGGCATTAAGGTTTTACATTCATAATAGTACAGCTGCAGTGGAGTTTGCCTAATTGAATTAGCCCTTTGCCTTGATATAAGAGACTCGAATTATTGTATGTTATTATATGTTAAAAGTTCTCAGATTAGACTCATGATTTCTGGAGTGGGAAATTAGATGAGCCACTTAGAGGATGTGTTGAGTGTATAGATTCATTGTAATCAGCAAAACACCGAACAGTCTGTTAACTGTGTAAAAACTGGAAAGTCCCTGCAGTGCAGCGCTGACTCTAACTACCCCGGGGGTGTGTGGCTTCACAGCTTAAGGTCACAGTCTTCCAAGACTGCCTTTGCTGCAGTTGTCAGCCCAAGAGCTCAGGTGTCCTCAGGCCACACACACTTTTAACCAACTACCCTGTCAGGTTCAGTAGCTCACAGGAATAACTCTCAGAACTCAAGCAAGTGCTCTCTTTACAAATAGAGTTTTCTTATAAAGGGTACAAATATAAGCCAGCCAAGTGCAGAGACTCTGTGTAGGGAGAGGTTTTGGAGAGTCCATGTGAAGCTGCCACTCTCCTGGCACAGTAGTGCATTATTACCAAGCAGCAAGCTCACTCAGTCACTGGTATCTGTAGTTTTTCCTGAGGTCTCATTACATTGGCATGATGGCTCGAGTCATTGTCCCTGTGATGGAGCAGTTTCCAAGCCCCCATTCTCTCCCCAGAGGTTGGGCCCATATTGGGGCTCAGAGACTCAACCCTATAATCACACGGTTGGTCTTTCTGATGTGACCAGTCTCTATTCTGAGTCATCAGCATAAACTCAGGTGTGGTCCTAGGAGACCACCAAGAGTAACAAAGATACTCCCAATTACTTGAAAAACTTGCAGAGATTTAGAGTTTGCCTCCCAGGAACCAGGGACAAAGACTAGCCCAATTCCTTATTATATTGCAGCCTTTCTATAACCTGCTCTAAGTACTTCAAGGGAGCCACGGTTTCCACATTTGTGTTTCAGTGAGGTCCAGTGTGTGACCAGGAGCTCTTACAGTGGAAGAGGTCACGGTAGCATCTAAATAGCTTTACATTCTCAACTTTTCCCCAGTTTTCTTAAGTTCATGATATGTGAGAGAACACTACTGAATCAGAGATCAGAAACTCAAAGTTCTAGTTCAGGCCCCCACATTATTCAAATATCATATTTATTTTTATGTATTCTTTTATGCCTCTAAATGCATAAAATAGTCAAATGCAAATAATTTTCATGTATTTAGTCCAGTTTTCAGCAAAATATTTGGGGTAAAGGGAGACCTGGGGAGACTGCATGAAATGACCATAAAGTCTCATCTGGATAATTCTAAAATTACAAAAAGGTCTAACAAAGAAGAACTTCCTTCTGTGACTTCGTAGTTTCAAATTAAAAAAAATTTTTCTAGGCAAATGAAGGATAAGTGTAACAATAGCACAACTATTAGGGATACTGGTGCTTGCTAAATGTTATCATTTAGATAAAGAACACATTTATAATGGATTTTGCTTAAATCAACTGCTTTGAAAAAGTTGATTTCATAAAAGAAGCTAAAATTAATGCTGAGAAAGTGTCCATCTGAACACAGTTCTTGCTATTGGATAATCTCATGTCACTTTCTATAATTGTCTTTCATCGATTTAAAAGGATGAGAATGTAATATGGCCAATCTGTAGAGTTCTTGAGAATGAAGCAGGTAGAATGCAGATCGCCACCTGTGTCACCTACCGCCAGGTGTATAGTGGCTCCAAGAGAATCACTACCTTGTCC